TCAGATGTTAGGAAGTGGAATAGTCTGGGAAGCGATGTAGTGGAGGCAGGAACTATACATAGTTTTAAGACGAGGTATAATAAAGCTCATGGAGCAGGGGGAGAGACGACCTAGTAGCAGTCGGTGATGCCGCGCGCACACACACGCACATGCACACACACACACACACACACACACACACACTATACACACAAACTCACACAACAGGCCTAGTGTCTAATCGACATGTGTCTAGGACAAAATGGTAACTAATAAACACACACACACACACACACACACACCACACACACACACACACACTCACACATGCACACCACACACACACACACACACACACACACACACACACACACACACACACACACACATGGGCGCCTGGCAAACCTGAGAACAGCATTCCGATACCTTAGTAAGGAATCATTCAAGACACTGTACACCGTGTATGTCAGGCCCATACTGGAGTATGCAGCACCTGTTTGGAACCCGCACTTGATAAAGCACGTCAAGAAACTAGAGAAAGTACAAAGGTTTGCGACAAGGTTAGTTCCAGAGCTAAGGGGAATGTCCTATGAGGAAAGATTAAGGGAAATCGGCCTGACCACACTGGAGGACAGGAGGGTCAGGGGAGACATGATAACGACATATAAAATACTGCGTGGAATAGACAAGGTGGACAAAGACAGGATGTTCCAGGGAGGGGACACAGAAACAAGAGGCCACAATTGGAAGTTGAAGACACAAATGAGTCAGAGAGATAGTAGGAAGTATTTCTTCAGTCATAGAGTTGTAAGGCAGTGGAATAGCCTAGAAAATGACGTAGTGGAGGCAGGAACCATACACAGTTTTAAGACGAGGTTTGATAAAGCTCATGGAGCGGGGAGAGAGAGGGCCTAGTAGCAACCGGTGAAGAGGCGGGGCCAGGAGCTAGGACTCGACCCCTGCAACCACAAATAGGTGAGTACACACACACACACACACACACACACACACATGGTAATGCTTTATTTACAGCTAGCAAAGTCAGAGTATTTCTCCAGAATGGTCTGTATTATACCACTGTGGATAAAATACTTTGCCATTTCTTGAACATTTCTGAGTGAGTTGTCTCTAAATTCATTAATTTTATCGCACTCCAGTGCATAATGATGCAGGGTGTGACAATAGTCCATCTGGCAAAGTTTACATTTCGTTTGGTCTACATCTGGCGGTGGTGATTTAACCTGCCAAAGATACTTCTAACCCAGTCGGAGCCGGGCAGTAGTGACATCCAAGAGTCTGCTTATTTTGTTGGATGCACCATAGACATGTGGCTCTTCCTGCATGATAGAATGATGATAGATGGACTGACTGGTGTCAATCTCCCTGAGTCTTAAGTCAATAAAATTCAGTTGAAGTTCTTTTCGTATTATTGTTCTCAAACTACTACCTGACAAGCCAAGATTGTAATCTACTCTCTCTTCGAAAGCATACAGCTTAGCCAATTTATCAGTTCTATCATACATTCGAAGACCAATGTGAGATGGAATCCACAGCATGTGCTCTCTAACTCCACTGTCCACAATCTTACCATACCTGTGTCTGGCTTCTGACACAAGCATGCCACAATTTATGCTTAATGAGTTGAGAGCATTTATGGATGACAGAGAATCAGTTACAATTAAAGTGTCAATCTTAGATACATAATGCATTTCAGTGCAAAGAGTATGGCAAACAGTTCTGTCTGAAGGGTAGAGGCCCAATTATTGATGCGTGCTCCAATTACTTTAAGAGAGCCATCACTCTGTACGACAACAGCAGCACTACTAGCTGCACCAGTGGATTGGTGAACAGAACCATCAACGTAAATAATTTGCGCGTGTGCTGTGTGACTAAGTTATCAATACAGCTTAAGGCATCATGTTTGGCTTCAAGGCGAAGTTTTGGTTGTGATTTAAGAAGTATTTTTTGGGGAAATGGAGAAATGGTAGTTTGGAATGGGGTAATATCCCATGGAGTGGAGAAGTGCCGCTGTTGCCTTACTTGACATAGATCATGTATCTGATTCATGCGGAGGTCGGTTCCAGTCTTTTCGATCCATCTGGAGGAGTGTTCACCAGTGCTGAGGAAAGTTTGGAGGGCTTCTGTGCAGGGGTTTGAATGGGCTTGCCTGAGCATATTAACCCCAATTAGGATATTTCTTTCAGTAACACGATCTCTGATGCTTGGAATATCAAGTTCTTTTTGCATATTTAAAATTTTGGCAGTACGAGGGCATCCTAAAATGATCCTCATTGCTTTGTTCTGCAGTTTTTCCAGCCCTCCAAGCTTCCAGTCAGACAAAAGAGCAGGATGCAGCATCAAGTATTAAAACCTCAGTAACTGTGCAAATATATACAGTGGACCCTCGGTTTTCGTTAGTCTCAGTTTTTGTGAATTTTGGTTATCGGCAACTTTTTCGTCAAAATATAGCCTTAGTTTTCATGATTTCCCTTGGATTTTGGCAGTCGTATGGAACATGTCCCAGTGGCTGTGCACACACAAAGCCTCCCACAGATTCGTTCAGAGTAAGTCTGGCATTGTTTATCGGCGAGTGAGCATCCCCCCCGTGGAGTTTACCTGGAGAGAGTTCCGGGGGTCAACGCCCCCATGGCCCGGTCTGTGACCAGGCCTCCTGGTGGATCAGAGCCTGATCAACCAGGCTGTTACTGCTGGCTGCACGCAAACCAACGTACGAGCCACAGCCCAGCTGGTCAGGAACCGACTTTAGGTGCTTGTCCAGTGCCAGCTTGAAGACTGCCAGGGGTCTGTTGGTAATCCCCCTTATGTATGCTGGGAGGCAGTTGAACAGTCTCGGGCCCCTGACACTTATTGTATGGTCTCTTAACGTGCTAGTGACACCCCTGCTTTTTATTGGGGGAATGTTGCATCATCTGCCAAGTCTTTTGCTTTCATAGTGAGTGATTTTCATGTGCAAGTTCGGTACTAGTCCCTCTAGGATTTTCCAGGTGTATATAATCATGTATCTCTCCCGCCTGTGTTCCAGGGAATACAGGTTCAGGAACCTCAAGCGCTCCCAATAATTGAGGTGTTTTATCTCCGTTATGCACGCCGTGAAGGTTCTCTGTACATTTTCTAGGTCAGCAATTTCACCTGCCTTGAAAGGTGCTGTTAGTGTGCAGCAATATTCCAGCCTAGATAGAACAAGTGACCTGAAGAGTGTCATCATGGGCTTGGCCTCCCTAGTTTTGAAGGTTCTCATTATCCATCCTGTCATTTTTCTAGCAGATGCAATTGATACAATGTTATGGTCCTTGAAGGTGAGATCCTCCGACATGATCACTCCCAGGTCTTTGACGTTGGTGTTTCGCTCTATTTTGTGGCCAGAATTTGTTTTGTACTCTGATGAAGATTTAATTTCCTCATGTTTACCATATCTGAGTATTGAAATTTCTCATCGTTGAACTTCATATTGTTTTCTGCAGCCCACTGAAAGATTTGGTTGATGTCCGCCTGGAGCCTTGCAGTGTCTGCAATGGAAGACACTGTCATGCAGATTCGGGTGTCATCTGCAAAGGAAGACACGGTGCTGTGGCTGACATCCTTGTCTATGTCAGATATGAGGATGAGGAACAAGATGGGAGCGAGTACTGTGCCTTGTGGAACAGGGCTTTTCACCGTAGCTGCCTTGGACTTTACTCTGTTGACTACTACTCTCTGTGTTCTGTTAGTGAGGAAATTATAGATCCATCGACCGACTTTTCCTGTTATTCCTTTAGCACGCATTTTGTGCGCTATTACGCCATGGTCACACTTGTCGAAGGCTTTTGCAAAGTCTGTATATATTACATCTGCATTCTTTTTGTCTTCTAGTGCATCAAGTGCATCTATGAAACATTTCATAATAATCCATTGCTGTTTGTGCTTGCAACTGTTAAATAAGCCACCATGGGCCGAAAGAAAGCTCCTAGTGCCAGCCCTTTGGTAAAGAAGGTGAGAAACACAATCGAATTAGAGAAAGAAATCACAGAAAAATATGAAAGTGGCGTACATGTGGCCAAGCTTGCCAGGATGTCCAAGAGACATGTTGTGGAATGTATTGTGGCATTGGGGAATTCCATGGGGGTTGGATGTGGAAGAGTTGATGGAGGACCACAGTGAAGAGCTAACCATTGAAGAGCTACAAGACCTTCATCTGCAACAGCAACAGAGCACAGCTGAGGAAATTGTTTCAAAGGAAGAAGAGAGAGGGAAGAAGGTGCCTTCTTCAAACATTAAGGGCATGTGGAAAGTGGAGTGAGGTGCAAACACTTGTGGAAGAACATCATCCAAACAAAGCTGTTGCAGGCCGTGTCTGCGACAAGTTCAATGACAATGCCTTGTCCCATTTTAGGCAAATCTTAAAGAGACACCAGAAACAGAGCTCTCTGGAACAATTTTTTGAGCAACAGGGGTCCAGTGACTCTCAAGCTGGTCCTAGTGCCATTAAAAAATAAAGAAAGGAAGTAATCCCCGATAAGGACTTGGTACCTAAAGTCTTTATGGAAGGGGATTCCCCTTCCATACAATAGTAACTTCTCCTCCCATCTTCCATACACCAACAAGAGTCTTCAATAAAGGCAAGTGTGATGTTATTATAGCTTTATATTGATTTGTCATTCTTTTCTGTATGTAAATCTATATTTAATCTCTAAACAAATTATTTTTTGTTAATACTTTTGGGTGTCTGGAATGGATTAATTGGATTTACATTACTTCTTATGGGGAAAATATTTCACTTTTCGTGAATTTTGGTTTTCGTCAGACTCTCTGGAAAGGATTAATCACGAAAACCGAGGGTCCACTGCATATTATAATCTTTCATGGTATATGTTTGTGTTTTGGTATGTGTGTAAGGGAGAGACGGCATAATGCCGTGACTAGCACTGTATCTATAGAGATATATTGCAATCCACTCGACTGTTATCTATGGTAACTGTTAGAATAATAAATTCATGTGAGGATGCCTCCCAGTGGGAACTAACCTATAAAGTTGCCCATCTTTGATCCCTTCATGGAGCCAGCGTTGCTGACCACAGCACAGGTGTTGAAGTAGCGACCCTCAAGGAGGCCACTGCTAGGGAAGTGTTTGGCTAAGCCCTGTGAGGTGAATGGTTCATCCCCATCTCTAAGAGACCTGAAGGAGGAGTGGCGGAAGGCACACATCAGCTGCTCCCGTGTTGGATTCCCTCGTATTCTTGGACCTTTATATGCAACGCCATACTTGTTCTCTTGTTGCTGCACAAGTGGTAGGCTTTTATTAATTCAACTATTAATACATAATCATCTATATTTAGAAACTTCTAGAGCCATGGGATTTATTTATTCCTGTACAGAAGACGGGAAGCCCTTGGCTTATCAAAGTCCCTTTATCTAAGGGTAAGAGGACTTGAATAACTATAGACCAATTTCTAACTTACCTCTGATCTCTAAAATCTTTGAAAAATTATTTCATAGACAGATCTGTTCCTACCTTGTCTCACACAACATACTAAACCCATGTCAGTATGGATACAGGAATAATAAAAGCACAAATGATGCTATTATACACATGCTAGAACTAATATACACTGCTCTCGAGAAGAAAGAAGTCCAGCTGGGAATCTTCATTGATTTACATAAAGCTTTTGATACTGTCGACCATGATTTGCTGCACACTAAATTAACACACTATGGTATAAGAGAGCACTCCCTCAACTACCTAAAGTCATACCTTAGTAACAGATACCAATATGTGTACACAAATGGGGCAAACTCTTCCACTTAATCACAGTTAAACAAGGAAGTGTCCTTGGACCACTCCTCTTTCTCATTTACATCAATGACCTACTGAATGCATCACAACTACTCAAACCCATATTATTTGCAGATGACACTACATACGTCTTCTCTTACCCAAACCCAGTCATACTGGCCAACACTGTCAATGCCGAATTGCATAAAATATCTGAATGGATGATGACTAATAATCTTACCCTCAATACTGACAAAACCTATTTCATTCAGTTTGGAAACAGAGCTGCAAATGTTCCACTTAACATAATGCTAAACGGATCACCCATCACAAGACTCACAGAGGGCAAATTCCTAGGAATCCATCTTGAGAGTAGCCTCAAATTCCAGACACATATACAACAAATTTCCAAGAAAATCTCTAAGACAGTAGGCATACTATCAAAGATACGGTACTATGTTCTGCAATCAGCTCTCCTTGCACTGTATCACTCACTCATCTACCCTTATCTCACATATGGGATTTGTTCATGGGGATCAACAACACTAAATCACCTAAGGCTACAAATAACCCAGCAAAAGGCTGCAGTCAGAATGATAAATTCCCACTCCCGACAGCATACTCCACCAATATTCAAAAGTCTAAAACTGCTCAACGTAAAGAACATCCACACTTACTCATGTGCCTACTACATACATAGAACACTACACTCAAACATAAACCTTCCAGTCAAACTTCTCACCAACTTAAACAGGACACACGACCATAACACAAGACACAGATCTCTTTTTGATGTACCCCATGTCTATATCACACTGTGTAAAAACTCTATGCACATAAAGGGCCCCAAAATCTGGAATTCACTACCAGTAAATACTAAAGTAACCCAGTCTGAACATCAATTTAAGACTTCTCAAAAACCACTTACTCACTCTAAACTAAATACTCAATATTTAGCTCTACTCAAAAATCTCCCAATCACCTAAATCTTTAAACTTCAAAACGTGATGCCCAAAGTTCATACAAAGATTAAAACTACATTGTAGTATAAATACCTACCCAAAACATGACTGCCTTACACCCAATTGCAGAATTCTCATACTGTAAACTACTTTCAACAACTATTCCCATAATATAATTTCAATATTTACTATTGAAAATATTGTAATTTGAGTAAAATTACTGTGTACAATAATTAAACAAGATGTACAATTTAAACAAACTATGTTCAATTTCTTTAGTATTATGTAGTCTGTAAGCCATTAAATTAAGTCTGCCCATAATACCTAGGCATGATAGTGACTCTCTTTGCACTGCAACTCATTGTTGTGATTTCATAATCTCAATATAATCTTGCAAGGAAATAAAAATTGATTGATTCATTGAGGTTGTGTCCAAGCGGTAACCCATCTAGTCAATGGCCAGGCTCAACTGTGTTTAACCTGACTTAGTGGCTGATGCTGACATCATCTAGAGTGCCTCCTTAGGCTGGATTACACTTGACTTAGTTTACAGAATTCAAACAATCCCTTCAATATGTATAAAACATTCTGAAACATTTCATACCAAGTTATATTACCAGCCTTCATGTCTAAATATTTGTTAAAGTAATACTGATAATACCAGCTGGCATACCAGTATAATATGTCATGAGTAATACCACTTGGTGCACCTCTATTTATAATGCCAGATGGTGTACTTGTATATATCATGAGTAATGCCAGATAGTGTACCTGTATACATGATGAGTAATGTATTGTGTATGAGTAATGACAGCTGGTGTACCTGTATATATCAGGGAAAGCCAGCTGGTGTACCTGTATATATCAAGTAATGCCAGCTGGTGTAGCTGTATATATCAAGTAATGCCAGCTGGTGTACCTGCATATATCAAGCAACACCAGCTGGTGTACCTGTATATATCAAGTAACGCCAGCTGATGTACCTGTATATATCAAGTAATGCCAGCTGGTGTACCTGTATATATCAGGTAATGCCAGTTGGTGTACCTGTATATATCAAGTAATGCCAGCTGTTGTACCTGTATATATCAAGTAACGCCAGTTGGTGTACCTGTATATGCATTCACGACCTGGCTGCCAGGGAGTGTGGACGTGCCTCGCACCTCTCTTCTGACAGTCTAGCAAGCTAACCAGTGACGTCATGGCAGTTAGTTGCGGAGGGGGTGAATGCCATTGGGTTAGAGTATTGGGGGGGCGATTACCCTGAGAATCACAGTTTTGCTCCCCCAAAGATTACCGTGACATTTTATGGTTTTAAACCAAGGATTTGTACTGCTTTGGCTTAAATGGCGCCTCCCGGTTATTTGTGAAACTACTAAAGGGGGCCATGTATGAAGCTGGTTGAGCATTCCAAGATACTTTTAGAGTGTCCCCTGCATGCGGTGCTGGGGGATGCTCCGACAATACCTGGGTAAAACCCGAAACGTGCCCTTCGAGGCGATCAATGGATCCCGCAGTGTTTTCAAGTACGGAGTGGTACACATGGCAAAACATGGCAAGTGGGGGCGGGATTTATGCTGGTCTCCATGAAGGTTTGTTTACCCTTAAGATGTCTCTTCCCAGGCCATACCATCGATGTTCCCTTTAAATGACTTCCGCACGAAGGTCATGGTGTCGATCGGCCCAAAACGACAGACGTGCCACCTCTGTGGACCCCTTTGATCAATGGCTTTTGCGGTGGGCAGTGGGGCGGGCCGGGAGGCCCGGGCCCGGGTGCAGCAAAAATACTTTGGGAGGAGGCTCCCACACATAGACAACAGGAGCTGGTGACGTGGTCCCCTTTTGGAGTGAGGAAACTGGGGAGCCTGTGGTGGAGTCAAAATTTGGAGCTGAGTCTCCGTTGCCTGCATGCGGGTGGACAGCAGGATTTTGGGGAAGACCAGGTGACAGCAAAAAGGTGGGGGAAATTGGTGCAACATTAGCGCAGTTTTGATAACATTTCCCGTCCCCGGATGTGGCTCCACGGGTGCCATCGGCCAGTCTGGAGTTTGCGGGCCAGTAAAGCAGAAAGGGGGCGTTGTTGGTGCTGGTGAGGTTGGTGGGGGCATGTAACCTCGGGTCGGACAACCCCTGTGGACCCCTCGGTCGCAAACATGGAGGAGGACGCTGGGCGGGGGAAGGGGGGCAGAAATGTGGGACTCTGACGACGTCCGATGCCGGCTCAAACCCGGGGGAAGGGGCATCATAACGGGGGGAACAGTTGTGCTAGTGGAGGTGGCAGCGACAGGCGGGTGCCAGGGCAGGGTTCGTGGGGGGAGAGAAAGGAAAACTGGTCCCCAAGCCCAGGGGGGGCTTGCAAAAGTATTGGGGCAGTGGGGGGAGGAACCTTAGCCCCAAAACCGGCAGTGGGGTTTGATGGTTTGTGTTTGGGGGCTCCAGTTTGCATCCCTTGAGGGCGGGGCAGGGCCCCAGAAAGGGTTTTATGCCGTGTGTGTGTAGAAATTTGGATATTATGTTTTAAATAAAAAAAAAGGGCAAAATACCGTGACTGGAACGATACACAAATAACCCCCCAAAAAGAGAGAAGTTTAGACGACTTTTCGGTTTTGATTTGGGCCATTGCAAAGCCCACACAAACCAAAAGGGGAGCAGGACGGCTATAATAGGCGGGAAGGGGTGGGGGTAGTTTAGTAGTACAAGAATGGCTGAAATCCCGACAAGGTGAAATTAAGACACATGCCACACCGGGCATCCCTACGTAGACGTTTCCAAAATTTCCAGCCAGCCCTGGTGGCGAAACGTCCCAAAAAAAGAAACCAACCCGCACATGTGTCTTAATTTCATCAGTATTGTAGAATAGAAGGGGTAGTAGTAGTGGTAGTGGTAGAAGTGGAAATAAGGAGAAGGGCCCAGTCAAATAAAAAGGGAAAGGGGAGCACTGCAAGAGAGCTAGGGGCCCACTGGGGAGAGAAGTGCACGAGGGAGTAAAAGGGGAAGGGGTGAAAAAAATGAAGAAGGAAAAAAACACGAACAGAAGAGAGAAGACAACCCCAAGGAAAAAGGAAAGTGGAAAGGGGAAAAGAGGGAGAAGAAAAAGAAAAAAAAAAAATGAGGAGCAGGTTAAGTCAGGGGTTTTTCTGAATTTTTGGAGCATTTTAAAATGTATGGAGGGGAAGGCATCTACAAGACGAAGCCAGGGCTGGGGTTCATAAAAGGAAATTGTGTATTAGAGGGGATTCAACTAGACGGCGACTTTCGGTTGGAAGTGGGAAGACAGTTTTATCATAACCAGTCAAATGATGGCTAGTCTCTGACGTGACAGAAAAAGAGCATTGTTAGTGTCGGCAAGCCTAACACTATTTTTGTGCCCCCTAATCTGTCGAAAAGATCGCCCCAGTTTCTCCGAATTTTGAAGAGGCAGGGGGGAGCAAGAAATAGAGTAAAACCGGAACATCTGCGAGGGAGGAGGGGGATGAACGAGTTATGCAAAGAGTGTTAGTCTGGGGGAAGGTAAGCTTGATGTTAAAGGGATGGAGAAAATT